TTATTTTATGTTGTCTTTGTTGGAAAATGAGGATCTAGTAGTATGCAATATTAAGGTGCTTTCGTCGTTCACAGTTTGGACTAATAAAAATGTACAGAGGCAGAAGAGAAGGCAAGGCAAAATATTACAAACTTAAAGCTTAAGTCTTTATTAAAAGAAAAACAGACGGTTACAACTGGAATTACAAGGAGTGGCTGACCACCATACATATTTACAGCCTAACAAAACTAATATAATAATAATAATAAGAGAAATCTATTCATATCTAGACATATCCCATAAATCATGGAAGGTATCTAACATGGCCATTAAACGGATAAAGATTAGGACTTCTTCCACTTGCTTTACCTGACAATCAAACTACAAGAGCTTTAAATAGTTGTACTCATGAAACCTTTAAATAATTGTACCCTATAATTGTTTATTAACAAGAAAAAGTATGCAGGAAAGAGAATCTACTTTTCCATCCTACCATTCATTTTATATCTCTCTCATGAGAGAGAAAGCTATCATTCCTTTCTATCCTTCCAAGCATCAGGGCCGGCCCTAAGGTGTGTGCAAAGTGTGTAGCCGCACAGGGCCCCCGAGAAAAATAGGGCCCGAGCCGCACAGGGCCCCCGAGAAAAATAGGGCCCGATTTTAAACAAATTATATATATATATATATATATATATATATATATATATATATATATATATATATATATTATTGTATACATGTAGACGTAATTGGCAGTAGTTCCTGTAAAAATATTTAAAAGCTTCGTTATTTGTTTTAGTTTTGCCCCCTCACCTTTAGTACTTAGCTTTTCTTACGGAACTATTTTCAAAATGTAAATGTATATATATCGCCTCTAAAGTTTTATAATTTTGCATTTGACCCTTTTTGATTAATTTAATTTATATTTTAATTTTTCTTATGACAATTCATCATTCTTTTATATATATATATATATATATATATATATATATATATATATATATATATATATATGGACCCATTTTTATGTTTCGTACAAGGCCTTCAAAATCAACGGACCGGCCCTGCCAAACATTTAACAGAAAAGCTATCCGGCAATTCTTTTATTAATATATATATATATATATATATATATATATATATATATATATATATATTAAAGAAATGAATCTTAGGAATAGTGAACTTGTCATTTTTTTGGCAGAATTGGTCCCTGTATTATTGTTGGGCTTCAAAGTTAGGAATAGTAAATTTAGATTTTTTTGGCAACTTTGCTCCTCATTCTTTAACCATTTTGACACTTTTGGTCCTTGCAATCAATATTTTTACACTTTTTAGGAACCTTTTAATATTTAAAGTTTGGTCACAAAACTTTAACGGTTTGACAACTTTGATCCCTTTTGTAAAAAGTTGTTAATTCCTACCCTTTTAATTCTTTAGCCATTTTGACACTTCTGGTCCTTGCTGTCAAAACTTTTACATTTTTTCATAAAAACATGAAAAAAACGGCCCGGGGCAAAACCCGGGCTTTTCATCCTTGTACTTTCTACGTTTGTCATATTTATCGATTCGGAAACAACATTAAAAGCTTCTGGCCCCCGCGTAGCGGGGGTAACCTTTCTAGTTATTATTATTATTATTATTATTATTATTATTATTATTATTATGATTATTATTAATATCATAGTCTTTTGATTATCTTGATTCTTTGAGTCCCACTAGTGTCATACCCGAAGGTCCATCTGTAAGGTGTATTCTCATTTCCTTATATTATACTTATTTTTTCAAAGGCTGCTTTCGTTGATGAGGATAAGGAGGACATTTATGTCTTTTGCACAGACAAGGAGATCGAGAGAGTATAATTGTTTAATCTTATCAACTCGTGAAATATTGTTTTGAAACTATTTGTTGATTTTTTAGTGCTTTGCTCAAACTTCCGCTAGAAGACCGATTTAAGATTAAGCTTCGTAAGGTTAGTGAGCCAAATTGACAAATTTTCACATGAATTTGTATATGTTTGTGTGTATATATATGTTTATTGAAAAAGTTAATGAATTTTTTTAGATATAGGTCATAACAACATTATTTGTTGTTATTTTCTTGTTTTATTTTCTTGTGGTTCTCAATAGGGGCATCCAATACGATTTAACATTTTAAAACACATAGCTCCGGATTCTAGCATTGAAGATATGTTCAAAGTCCTTAGAAGTCATGCTCAATTAGTACAAGGATTATGGGTTGCAAAAAGTAAACTTCAATACGGGGAAGATGGGGGAAAGAAATTTTTATTTAGAGATTCGTAATGCTTCAATTTAGTAAGAATCCAATCGTTCATATATCACAGTTACCTAAACCAACGAGTGAAATCATGATCAATTTATTGAATGATTTTGGTAGAAGAAGGGATGGCTTTTGGGATTGGAAACTTAAAAGCCTACAGATGATTTATTTATAAAAGAATACCCAAATATTGTTGAGGAACAAAAAAAGATTTGGGATCATGTGGAGCCAAAAATAACCGAGTGTGTGTTTCATCAAAACATGAAACAAGGTATTGGTAAAAGGCGTCCTATGTTAAGTTGTAATACAGATAATGTTGAAGCAAAAACCACAATTGTCCCACTTTCTAGGGGAGTAATGCTAAATGAAACCCGAGAAGCATTACGGAAGAGAAACAATCTAACCTTTCTAAACTCGGTTCCATTTGGTTCCATTTGGCTCAAAAGGGGCTCCATTGAAGCAGCTGAAAAGGGTACCAAATGGAACTGAGTTTAGAAAGTTTAGATTGTTTCTCTGGCTCTTTGCATTGTTTAGCGTTACGGGTGTTTTTGATTCCATTGCTAAATTGGCATGTTTGGGTCAATGTAAATGGACTGAATCTAATTTTGTCTAGTCCCAGTAATGGTGCTTCATTTCATATGTCATGTCTGTCTGAATTTGCAGGTTTTAGAGGAGTTATGTGTTCCTCAAAGTTCTGCGTGGGTCTTGAAGAGTGGGGATGGAAGTCCAACATAAATAAATATCTATTCCTCTACTTCATGTATGGGTTTGGGTTCGTTTTTGTAGTTAAATTTGCAGAACTTAAGTTATTATTTAGTTGAGGTTTTCTCTCTTTCTCTTTTCATTTTTTGATAAAGATATATGTATCGGAAGAGTACTATATGAGCAAAGTTTCTTTCTTTCTTTTTTCTTGAATTTAATAAATTGTTTGAATTTGTGTAAAAGGCCATTTTACTCTAGATGTGATGTTAAAAAAAATTACAAACTATTTTAAATTGTTATATATATTACAATTATATATTAATGGAGGACCCCACCGTCATTGCATCTTCCACGAACCACCTATATAAACCCAACAACATGAATAGATCAGGGCAAAACAAAGAGAGTCGAACAAGCAATACAAATACACACTCGTATACTATTACTCCCAATCTCGTTGTTCTAACTTAGGCATCAGAGATTATTTTACTAGGACCATCCCGTGTTGGTGTATAGTTGTGAAGAAGAATGTGGTATAACGTAACTCGTTGTTTATGATTTTATAAGTAAAAATAGATTCCTTTTTCGCTGAAGTAATCTAAAAGAAAAATGTAGTTGACTCGAATACGAAACTTTGGATATAAAGAAACATTGGAATCTAGGCTTGTGTGAGGAAGTTATGGTCATCCGAAAATGGAAACCAAGTATAATGTTGGAAAGATAAGAGATAGGGTAAGCACGGGTCGTGTGTGCGCATGGAGGCACGCGCCATGCCTCGAGTTCGAGCTTTATAAAAACATTTTTAGAGCTTAACTTGGTCATTTGCTCTTTATTTCATTTACACATCTCCTAGAAAGCTACTAGGAGCAAAAAGAAAAAAAAATCGAAAGAGCAATTTTGAGAACCAAAACACTTGAAGTTGAAGCTAGGTTCATGGAAACATCAAGGAGATCTGGAATCTAACATATCACTTGGATTAAAGGTGAGTTCATCTTCTTGTTAGCTTCAATTGGTACTCTCATGGTGAAATTGGAAGGGTGGTGAAACCTTAGCTTATGTACGCTTATTACGGAAGCAAAACTTAATAATAATGTTGTAATATGTTTCGTAAACATGTTTTCAAGAGTTTTATGTCAAATTCATGGTTAATTACTTGAAATTGAGAAGATGACCATAAATCTTAGTTTGGTGAAATGATGAATAAGGTGAAATTAAGCCCATGACTTGTAGACAAGTTATTCTTGGAGCATATGTAGTTTTAACTATGCAATCAAGCACTATGAACTCGGTGAAGGTGTTAGATTAATTTTATGCATAAGTGAGTTGTGCCTTGAGTTGTAAAGTATTATTTTGATAGTTATTAGAGTTTTCTGAAACAAGAGAGGACATGGGACATCAAGAGCTAGAATTCATACACTTGATCTCAATGTGAGTAACCACCTTTCTTCCTAGATAATTGGTATCTAAATGTGCACTTATTATTGTGTAATGTGAAATATACGATATGTTGGTCATTGGTATCAAAGGATGCGCCTATTATTGTGTAATGTGAAAGATACAAAATGTTGGTTATTGTTGATCAATGTATTATGAGTTAATATGGATACATAGTTGAGCTTTTACAGCAGAATATTGTTGTATGGTATAACAAACCGATATAATAGAGATTTACAGCAGACTATTGATGTATGGCGTAATGAGCTAGTATATTTGAAATTTATAGTTGAGTGACTTTATCTTGTATAATTTGTATTATCTACAAAACTTAAAAAAGGCTTTTTTATAATGTTTGTGTTATTATCTAATAATGTTAGAATTTAAGCCATAGTTTTAAAAGATAAAAGTAACGTTATAACTTGTACAATTTTAAATCAATTTTACATAAGAGTTCTAAAACCATGTTTTACCATCTTGTAAAGTCTCATCACTACAAGTTTATGCAACCATCAAAGAGTTCAAAAACTGATATGCCAATGCAACCAAAAGAAATTTTAAAAAAGAAACACTTATGCTATTCAAATAACAATACAAGGAAAACCAAAAGGTATGTTTTTCAAGCTGACATGGCAGCTTGTTTGTCATCATCTTCTTCGGTAAAGGGAATCGGCTTTGTGGGAGCTGGCAATCGGCCAATACTATCAACCTTATCCATTTGCTTAGGTGGCGGTCTTGCTGCTTTTGGAATGAGTCTCCCCTTCTTTTCAAACCACTCCGGTTTCAAAAGCGCACGGAAACCGAGTTTGTTGTAATACACTTTTCGCACGGACCCACCCGCTGCTTCAACCGCTTCTTTTGCACGCACAGTCACCCGTGACACCTGGCATTTTGTTTTTGGTAATACGGTTAAATGAAATAAATAGAAATGTACTTTTGTTGGTTTGTTTGTTATTAACTTATTATAGCATCCTACTTTAATATCTTTTTATTACAACATTTTAGTTTGAATTTATATGAAAATGACATGTTATAAGTTATAACTAAAACAAAAAAAATAATAATAATTAATAAAAGGATCACCTCAAGATGAATTGGCCATTGTATATGTTCAGCACCACGTCCCATCAACCTCACTCCATCTCTTATTTGTTTTCCTATTGCCCCTGTATCCTATTTTAGAAACAAGATTACTAATGATAAATTGATAAATGATAATCAGACTTAAGCACTTATTACAAAAGTAAAAAAAAATATATATATATATATATATATATATATATATATATATATGAATATAATAGAGAATAAATAAATACCTTTAGAGTTTTCATTGTGATGAGCTCTGAAGAGTCGATCTTCCCAGCATTGATCAACCTTGCAATCTTTCCCAAACCAACTGGCTGGAAAAAAACAAGCATAATACTTTCTTATATATCAATTTAGCTTTGACTTTTTTTCCCTAAAGTAAAGAGTAACAAGGAAAATTAATTTCAATTAAGTAGAATTCTTCAATATTGCAACAAAGTCATGTAATAAAACGGTATGTATTGATTTCTTTCCTATCTTTTGTCTTTCAATTTCCACAGGTTCCTGTGAACAAGCTTGGTTTTCTTTGAAAAATTGTCTTGTATTTTTGCATGCTTACTAAGTGTTTGATAAAATGCCTCTGTAAAAAAAATTCCAATGTATAATGTATATGATAGCAATATTCATATCTTCCTTTGTTTAACTGTGTGATTATGGTGTCAATACTCTTAAAGAAGTTATTTTGGCCCCTAATTGTTTATCATGCTTTGGATTCTGTATCTAATGTTTGCTAATGTGACAGAAAGAGTGCAAATTTAGACGAATTGATTCCTCTGAAATCAAACGTTTTGATGGTTATGATATTGTAAATCAAGAGAATGAAGTTTAGTACATGTTTTTCATTAAAATGATGTCAGAAGCAATTGAGTAGAATGTTTTTCACAAATGTTACAAGACTGTTTGTTGGTTTGATTGTAATCAGCATTCGCGTTTCCAGAATCAACAGCGAAATCACATATTAATGTGATAAATGTAGTTTTATTGAAACAAAGTTAGAATTTTACATCAAAACAATATTATAAACATAAAATTAATGCTAAGAATAATCAAAATAAACTGGAGGAGAAATTACCTGAAATTCAAGGCTGAAAGGGTTCTTGAAACCCCTCTTGGGCATTCTACGCCTCAAGGGAGTTTGCCCACCTTCAAAACCGAACTTATGAGTCCCTCTAGCTTTCTGCCCCTTATGACCCCTACCCGCAGTCTTACCCTTACCCGACCCGATTCCACGACCCTTTCTTGTTTTCTGTTTCGTAGCACCTTTGTTGTCCCTCAGATCATTCAAGCTCAACAAACTGTAAGCCCTAATGCTGTGAACCTCAAATGAATTAACGGGTTTCTGAAATAGGTTTGAATGGTGAATTGGGTTGTGCAACAGCTTTGTGATTGGGAAATGTGACGTTGATTTGGTGTAAACTGATGCATTTCTAACGGAGTTCGATAATAAAGATGAGAGTTTTCGTCTCAACATTTGCTCAAATGCGTTGATTACTTGATTTGCAGTCGTTGGTCGATTCGTTCCTCAGGGTGTTGCTTTGGAAGGGTTCTGCGGGAAAGAAAGAAGAAACTCCGATGGGCTTGAAGTATTGAATACGGTGACTGGTCTGGCAATTGGCAAATGGGCTAATCAATCTGTTCGGGTCGGGCTTATCTTTGAAATGTAACTTTACAGGTATCTGAATACGCTACAAAATAAGAAGGGTACTCCTATACTAGTCCTATTACACAAATCAATTCGTGTATTACATTAAAATAAAATAAATAATATTATAAAAACGTTAAATACCAATTGTTTTTATACTCAGTACCACCGAACTCATTGATTTTCTTTTTGCCCTTTTATTTTGGATACAATCTTCAAAAAAATATACTTTAATATTTTAAATTTATATTTAATCTCTTGTTATTTTAGTAATGAAATTAACAAATAAAAATTACATCTTAACCTAAAAAATCATATTATTAATAAGATCGTTCTACATAAAAAATGATATTTGATAAAGCTAATTTTGTTTTTGTTAAACATAACAAATATATATATATATATATATATATATATATATATATATATATATATATATATATATATATATATATATAATTTCTTTTGGAACTCATTACAATATTAAAATGAAAACCCTCATAACTAAGTTGTAAATGAATTGAACAAAGATTTGTTCATATTCCTGTAATATCCCAACGGTGAGGTATTTTCATATTTAATCCTTAAATATGAATGTTTATGGTATTTAGCCATTGTCTATAAGAAGGATTGCAAAATTGCCCATAGTGGCATTTTTGAAATTTCATGCCAAAGGTTAGTACGCTGGGCGTACATCACGTATACATGACGTACGTGCGAAAGTTTCAAACCCTAAAATTTAAGGTTTGGACCATATTTAATCAGCTTTATATTCTCCAACCTCATCTCTCATCAACCTCCAACACCTCCATTCTTGACCTTTGTGTGTGTTTTTTGTGATCTTGAAGGAGAAAGAAGGAAGTAAAACCATCTTGGAACTTGAAGAAGCTTTGGATCTGGGATCTTCACCTCTCTAGCAACCTCCAATAGGTATAAAGTTTCAAACTTGGCTTGTATGTGACATCCCAGAATTTAGGGCATAAACTATGAACGACTAAATTACGATAAATTTGTTGGTAATCTAACTCGTTTGTTTTTCTATTTCATCTAATGAAATATAAACAATTTCAATTCAATTATATATGATATCAGATGATACTTTGCTTCAAAGTGTGTAATTTGACAAACAGATTAAACTGCTCAAACTACCACGCTAATTAATACGTCTGAAAAACTGAAAATTTTCATTAAGCGGTTTTGAGCAAAGAAAACATTAAAATATTATAGAACATGTTTTCCTGTTTCCGAAAATATAAAAAACGTCCAAAACGTGGGTTCGTATGCAAAAGATACGACGGTTTTAAGAAACCAAACCGGTATAACACTGGTTTTACCTGTTCTAAGTAAAATATTTCACACCGTTAAGGTACTTATGCATTGCCGACGAGATTTCTGAGAGCGTTTTTGGAATCAGACTATAGTATATTATTTAATTTCATACTCAAAATATTTTTAGTAAAAATATTTAAAAAAGTCACGAAAGCGGAGTCCGTCAGTCGTTTAGACGCAAAACATCAAACGCGATTTCCCGGAGTTTCGTAAATCCAAAAATTAATCAGTTTGAGTTTTTGAAATCCTTGTATTAAACTCAATCCATCAGTATATTCGAAAAATTTTCTCGACATCCGGATCCCGACGCACCCGACTATGGGTACTATTAAGCAATTAAAGAGGATGCAAACTTTGGGGGTGAGACCCATGAGATTTGGAAGGACCCTTCCCTGTGATTTTTCCCACATGACCTCCCCCCCCCCCCCCCCCCCATTCCTCTTTTCCATTTTTCTTACACTCCATCCCAAAGTACATGAATAGCGCTTGATGGGATTTGAAGAGTATGGCCTCCTTGGCCAAAGGAGTGCTGCCTCCTACTATAAATAGAACTCATCTCTTCCTTCATTCCTCACCATCTCAGCTCATTCATCTCTTTTTTCAAACCTCTCAAGCCTCTTATAAATCTCTCTCAAATCTCTCCCAAGTCTCTTGCAAATCTCTCCTGAATCTCTTTTAGTAACCAACACACATAATGATTCCACTATCCTAAATCACTCTTCACCACAATTACATCCTCTCCCTTAAACACCCATATCATCCCAAACCTTCCTTTTGTTGAAATTAACTCAAATCAGGAGAAGAAAACCGGAAACAGCAACACCATTTCAGAATTTTTGGCTAATTTCGGAATTTTCCTTCTTAGCTTCGAATTTCAGCCACTTCAGATCTCAGCAGCTTCAGATCCTTTAAGGCTTCGGATCCCATCTGATTTTGGAATCTCTTTCTGTTTCGGAACCCACCCGACTTCGGAATTTCCATCGGTTTCGTACTCTACCCCTTCGAAATCCCCTCCTCCTTCGGAACCTACTCATATTTCGGAACAAATAGTTTCGTAGTTTTCAACCTTCGGATCCTCATTCCAGTTTCAGAGCTTTTGGCTTCAGATCTTTTTTTAGTTTCGGACCCTTCTCATTTCGGACCTTCTACCTTTGGATTTTATACTCATTTCGGAACTTTTATAGTTTCGGATTTTTCTAGCCTCGGAGTTTCAACAAGCCTCGGAACTTTTCATCTTGGAACTTTTGCACCTCGGAATTTCTACCACTTTGGGTGTCTTCCATCATCATCAAAGGCTTCTATGGTCTCTTCATTTATCAAGACTAAGCTAATCTTGGAAGTTCAAATTCACAACAACACACCTCGGTTCTCGGATTCCAATACTCAAAAACAACTCGTTAACCGCATATCAAGGTGAGAGTTACGGCCCCTCTTTTATATTTATTCGTTTTGGGGGAGAATACATGTGCTAAATATTATTTATGATAAAAAATACATAAGTCTCATATGATATTCATGCTACAAGTTTAAAGTATCTCAAAGTTTCAAAGACTACTACACATGAATACTTTTATGCATAAGGCTTTACACACATATACAAGATCGTTACATTGAAATACATTTCTCTATAAAAGCGAGTAATTTATACTTTTATAAATACGTCGACCATACTCGGCTTTTATGAACGTTATACTACGAAATTCATTATGCATGGTGCTTAATTATAATTAAGTTAGGACTGAGAGATTTTTCACAAACTTTTAGTTAATGGCTTTTAGTGAGACGATACTTTATTCATTAGTTGAGTCTAACCACTTAGCCTGCCCCAAACTACTATAATCGTTAATATTCGGAGCAAGGTACATATGTATAGATCTATATGGGGTCGACAACCCCACCTGCGGTTGCTAGCTAGAACCTTCGACTGATGAATCGTAGTAGGTGATATGTGTCTACGATCGTTACTACAACGTCCAATGAAGCGTTGTAGGGAGGGGTACTTTTCGTCAATAGCTCGATTATAGGACTCACTATAAGCATTAACACAAATAGCTCTCTCTCACTACAGCTATAGGTTTGGTTGCTTTCAAAACTATTTTGTAACACCCATAAAATTCAAGCCAATTTAAAACTTTTAAAACATTTCCAAAACCATTAATCATTACAAAACTTGTTTTCAAAATGTATCATATCAGAGTATCCCATAAACAAAGTTATAAAAAGTGAGGAGCTTTACAATCACGCCTTTGCCTTGCCACGATCCCCTGATGTACCTAAAACAATAAACTGAAACTGTAAGCCCGAAAGCTTAGTGAGTTCCCCCAAAATACCCATACCCGCAACAATACACATATAATCATAAACAGCATACTATGGGTCCAGTCAACCATCAGGTTGGAATACCCCCAGGCCCTCAACCATCCGGTTGGAATGCCAACATACTATGGGTCCAATCATCCTCGGGATGGAATACCCCAGGCCCACAACCAACAGGTTGGAATGCCCACATACTATGAGTCCAGTCATCCTCGGGATGGAATACTCACGACCCACAACCAACAGGTTAGAATGCCCAGGTCTATTGGCTTTCGCACAAAGCAGATAAGCCTCAACCGCCAAACAAACATGTGCACATATAACAAAAAATCACATAACAGTCTATAGACAATACTTGATCTAACGGATCATACCACATAGCACATAACACCATCCTCTCTACCAGGATGCCGATCTAACAGGTCATACCGCATATCATACAATATTATCCTACCCTCTAGGATACCGATCCAACAGATCATACTAGCATATCATAACCATATAACAATCCAAAGGGCCGGCCTTGGTGCCTTAGACCCTTGAGTATAGTGAGGATAACTCACCTCGCAACTGTCTTTTTGAAACTAGAAGGCTCAACTCCTGGATCACCAACACGAACTCCACCACCTATAGTTACCGTAAAACCCTTTTTCATAAATCTCCAAATTACCAAAATACCCTCAAAAGCTATCTGATCAACTCTTGGTCAAAGTCAAAGTCCACAGTCAAAGTCAACAGTCCATGTTGACTCGACTCGTCGAGTGTAGCTCACCGACTCGTCGAGTCCTTCCTGAACTCGAGATGTCGTGAAATCCTTGATTGACTCGTCGAGTTTCCTCGCAACTTGCTGAGTTCACGCGTATCAAAGGGTTGTGGAAAAACCCTAGCCGACTCGCCGAGTCATACATCTGACTCGCCGATCCCAAGGCCATCTTCATCGGACTCGCCGAGTGTTCATCCAACTCGTCGAGTACATGACTATCTTCATATGACTCGCCGAGTCGAACTTGCGACTCGCCGAGTCCCTTCAATCCTTTAACCATACAGATGCTTTTTAAGTCATGCAAAGGCTCCATATTGCAGATCCAGCTTCCCAAGGCATGTTTATCACGTAAAGTTGCAAACTTTACGTGCATGCAAGGCTCTAATGACTCATAATGACGAATCCAAGCTTACAATGGAGTTTTTACACTCAAGGAAGGCTTCAATCATGACCAAGCTCTAAACTTTATGAACCTAGAACCCAAGAAGGGTCCAGATCTGAAGTTGCAACTTCAGATCTAGCTCATACACCACAATATCATCATAACCAAGACAAAA